CAAAACCTAATAGTAGTCAAAATCATTACAATTATACCGTGCAGGTAAAGTGGTCAACCAAGAATATATACTGAGACCCTGAACCTCGTCGATAAAAATAACGACGGTGTTAACAACTTATTGTGTTTAAAGCCATTTAGGCAAGTTTGTAAACCATTTCGGTAATAATATTGTTGTATTTACCCTTTAGGTAATATACTTTTAATTGTGCCATTTAGGCGACATATTTGTTATTGTACCATTTAGGCGACCTATTTGTTATTGTGCCATTTAGGCGACATATTTGTTATTGTGCCATTTAGGCGACATATTTGTTATTGTGCCATTTAGGCGACATATGTATTATTGTTTTTTTTATATTTAATCTTCAAGGAGCATGGTCAAATCATATACATAACTCAAGGGACCTTAAACCCTAATAATAAATAGTGTTATTTTTCACTTGTCTCGATAAGTCAATTGAAAACAAAGATATTAATCAAACTGTAAAACTGGACCAATCACAATAATAATACTAAATATAAAATTGATAGGTACAAATTTAGTTTAAGAGTGTGTTATTTAATAATTTCATAATAATGTTTAAAATTATGCATTCTAATAATTTGTATTATTTGTAAACGTATGTTTATTATAGTATTTAAAATATAAATCAAATGTTAATTCAATATTTTTCTAAATAATAAATAATGGAGAAAAATAGGCATTTGTTTGTGGTACGTGACTACAAGCATTGTGTAATGGCAGCCGTTGGAGAAATTTAAAACATGTAAATCAATCATTTACAACAAAATATGTATTATAAATAATATCAGACTAACCTGTATATTCTTCTAATATGAAAGAACCACAATGTACGAAGATCCCTCTATTCTTTTAGAAGTTTTTCTGTTTATTAACATTCGCCTCAAGTGTGTAGTCACCAACAGCCAACACCCTAAATTAGGGTGTTGGCTGTTGGTGACTACACACTTGAGGCGAATGTTAATAAACAGAAAAACTTAGGGTCCCTAATAATAATTCAATCTAAAACATTTTTCGAGCCTCCTTCCCACCATCATCAAATAATGGACTCGTCCAAAAACCGTAGAAACTTCTTTATGCATGCGCATCGTAGAAGTTTCTGTCAATTCTTTTTAAAGATTAACAGCACTACTTCAAATATTAATTAAATAAGTAACCTATTTACGATAACTAGATAATTCACAATAATCTTCTAAACCTAATCATTACATTTTTATAGAAATAATAATGATTATAAAACCAAAAATACACAGCTGTACAAATAGTTGCCTATAACTAAAAGCCTAAAGTTGTAATTAAATAATAATATTCAATTAGGGATATTTTAATATTACAAAAATATAAGTGAGATAAGAACAGAATTCGTAAAGACAAGTGACATTTTCAGAGAATACTAAGGGTGGGTCACCACCCTACAGTACCCATATGGGATTATTTAAGAATTAAATTTTAATCATAGATTAATTTTTAATTTGACAAATAAGGGAATGAATTTAAAATTAATGTAACTAATGTATTTATGACAAAAAATAAAAAATGTAATGAAACTAAAAAAAATAATCATTAAGCGATTCCTTTGATTTTGCTAGGCTAATTTGGGTTTTCGATGGTTTCACTTTTTAGAGTTGATTAGGATTTTGCAGTATTTTGGCTTACTTAGACTCAGTTAGTTCAACTAGTTTTACCTTAATTTTGGTATTGCGGGTTCAAGTTTAGTTTCTAAATTTCTTTTAACTTAAGCGATTCCTTTGATTTTGCTAGGCTAATTTGGGTTTTCGATGGTTTCACTTTTTAGAGTTGATTAGGATTTTTCAGTATTTTGGCTTACTTAGACTCAGTTAGTTCAACTAGTTTTACCTTAATTTTGGTATTGCGGGTTCAAGTTTAGTTCCTAAATTTCCTTTAACTTAAGCGATTCCTTTGATTTTGATAGGCTAATCTTGGTTTTTAATAGCTTATTTTTCATTTTTAAGCTGGATTTATATAGCCTTTTAATCATTATTTTTCTTTTTCACTCATTTTCATATTGGTTTAGTTATTGTTTTTTTAACCTTATTTTCTGATATCTTTTACATAGGTACCTATATGGGATTATTTAATAATTAAATTTTAATCATAATCAAGCGATTAATGTTTTTATTTGTGCCTATTTATTTCGGTATTGAATAAATAGGCAAATAATAATTTTGGTTTTGTAACTTTTGTTAAAATAAAGAAATGCCTATTTAATTTAAATATAATAAAAATAAATAAATCTCTACACGCAGGATTGGGCGAATGACGTGTCGGCCGCACCTACATACAAAACGATAAACTAGACAGGCTATACCTACGACGTAGCTACCGGGAAGTTGAACGTAGGTCCTACGTTCAACTTCCCGGTAGCTTGGTCTCATGATTTTAGAACAGCGTTAAGTTAAAATCGTACTTTATGACTTGATTCACAACAAAAGAGCAGCTAGCGGCCAGCCCCAGGTCACGTGGCCCATGTTTATAATAGACGGTCTATTGTTAGTGGCCTACATACATAATAATCGTTGAATAAAAAACGTTTTTTATTCAAAGATTATAATAGTTTTGGCGCTTAGTTCAACTTGCTGATTATAAAATCTGACAAGCTTTTTAGGAAAAACTAAAAATCCCTTTCTTCCTGATTTTCGATGGTACGGCCGTGCCGTACCTGACCAGCCGCCACTGCATCTCACAATGTAAAATTCAAATATAGCGGCCGTAGGAAAAACAAAAGAAGGTGGTGGTATCTTAAAATCTATCTAGTAGGCAAAAAAATATGTGTAGGAATATCGAAGTTATTATTTAATAATTAAATTTTAATCATAATCAAGCGATTAATGTTTTTATTTGTGCCTATTTATTTCGGTATTGAATAAATAGGCAAATAATAATTTTGGTTTTGTAACTTTTGTTAAAATAAAGAAATGCCTATTTAATTTAAATATAATAAAAATAAATAAATCTCTACACGCAGGATTGGGCGAATGACGTGTCGGCCGCACCTACATACAAAACGATAAACTTTAAACTATACCTACGACGTAGCTACCGGGAAGTTGAACGTAGGTCCTACGTTCAACTTCCCGGTAGCTTGGTCTCATGATTTTAGAACAGCGTTAAGTTAAAATCGTACTTTATGACTTGATTCACAACAAAAGAGCAGCTAGCGGCCAGCCCCAGGTCACGTGGCCCATGTTTATAATAGACGGTCTATTGTTAGTGGCCTACATACATAATAATCTTTGAATAAAAAACGTTTTTTATTCAAAGATTATAATAGTTTTGGCGCTTAGTTCAACTTGCTGATTATAAAATCTGACAAGCTTTTTAGGAAAAACTAAAAATCCCTTTCTTCCTGATTTTCGATGGTACGGCCGTGCCGTACCTGACCAGCCGCCACTGCATCTCACAATGTAAAATTCAAATATAGCGGCCGTAGGAAAAACAAAAGAAGGTGGTGGTATCTTAAAATCTATCTAGTAGGCAAAAAAATATGTGTAGGAATATCGAAGTTATAAAGATTTTTGGTTTTGACAGGTTTTCAGTTTTTTTTAAATTATTTGTGAACCTTTTACCAATTTTTAAATACCATTTTAATAGACCTGTAATTAAGCAACTTTGGTCTAATTTAACCGACTTTGTAGCTCTTTAAATAAAAAAGATACCCATACAAAGAAGGATACTTGGATATATGGGTTATTTTTTTTTTTGGTTTGGCCCCGCGGATTTTTTTTTATTTACCTAATATTGAATTTTAGAATTTTGACAATATATTTTTTTAAACTTTTTTTAGACGAAAGACCCTCAAAATTCAATGAAAGTGAAAAATGCGAAATATGCAATTTTAGTTTAAATAACAATTAAATAATAAAGTAATTAATTGTAAGTAATTTTTTTCAGATAACTGAGATTATGTTTTTGTCAGTTTAACATCTATTTTCTGAATATAATATATTATATATTTGTCATATTGATTTATTTACCTTTTTAAATATCAATGTTGTTGTTATCTGCGATTATTTGCGGTTATTTAAGGGTTAGGTACCTATAATAATTAATTCTTAAAAAAAACATCATAAAAAACCTTTTATTTGGATGAACTATAATGATTTTTTAGCGTTTTTTGCCAGAAGCTCATTTAAAAAAGTCCTAGGCTGCGATTCCTACATCTCCTTTATCACCTTTTTCGCCTGGAATACCTGGACGCCCAGGCTCTCCCCTTATCCCAGGCTTTCCCATAAGCCCTACCAATCCTGAAATGTTTATTTTTTAGATAATACCAAAACGAGCCCAGAATCATATCAAGGGCGTCATATCAGAAGGGCGTAAGCGCCACTATGGTCGGATTTGGGTTTTTTGGGCGTATGGACTTATTTTATTATTCCGCTTGATATATCAGAAGGGCGTATAGATTAATGAACATCAGCACTCTATATCAACCCATTTTACTTATGCATATGAACCAATAAGCTCATACGCCCAAAAAACCCAAATCCGACCATAGTGGCGCTTACGCCATTCTGATATGACGCCCTCGATATCATTTGAGCCAGACAATATTTTATTTTTTACATTATTTCAGACAATATTGGTAAAGAGTGTTTACTAAACACAAAAGAAAAATCTATTGAATCCAACTATTATTATAATAATAGTTGGATTCAATAGATTTTTTATTTTCGTTTACCAATAGTGCCTGAAATAATGTAAAATATAAAATATTGTCTTGGCCAAACGATATGATTTTGGGCTCTTATATGTATATGAAAACATGAAATATGAGTATTTATTTATTAAAAAAGTTTGGGCTCTGGGCCTGTTCAATACAACTATAAGCGTTGAATGAAGAAATAGGGTCAATGCTATAAGGTTAATATGACTTTTTTAATAATACAATTAATTTTGGATAATATGCATAGCAATGTAAATACGTGTATAGCAAAAATGTTAAGTATCTGGTTTACCTGAAAGCCCTGGAGGCCCTATAGGCCCAGTAAGTCCAGAACGCCCAGGAAGTCCAGGAAGTCCATGTAGTCCAGGAGACCCTGTCAAGTTTGTTGACAAATGTAAGTTTATTTTTTGGTTTTAAAATATGTATGAGTGTTAATAATTGCTGTAATTCTTACACCTTAAGGGTGAAAATAATACTTTGGTCGAAAATGTAGAGGTGCTAGCTAGTCAAAAAATCATTCAAGACCCCTAAATATATTTTTCTAAATAAAAGTAGTAGATAAGAATTTTAATTTATCTTTCGTGAAACTATAGTATAGTATATACAGTATATATAGTATATACAGAGTGAGTCTACAGATTATTTTGAGTCGTTTGAACCCCATATTGCCTTATCCAAAAGTTATTAGTTTTGGAGTTATTTGAATTTTTGTGATTTTGGTAAAAAATCGTGTCCAGGATTACATTTATTTAAATTTCTCGATAAGAATTAAAGTTAATTAAACGATTCTTTTTTTAGTAGTTAGCCCATACATTGGTACATGCCATATAGTAAAAGACATATGGAACTTCAGAACAACATTATAAAATAAAATTTTATTCGCGAATTTGGAAGACTTCTTAAGTTCATCAGGATTTTTTTTTTAATTTCACTATACACTTTGCGTGCAAATTGTTTAAAAAAACTTTCTTAATGTATTACCTTTCGAATGATGTATAATATGTCCATAAAAACTATTATTTTTGGATAGAAAATGTCACCTTTGTAAGGCACATACAGGTTTTAGTTAACCCTAGAATTAACAGTTCCAGGTAGTAATGGGTCTTGATGTATTATTTGTATTATTAAAGTTAAAATTTAATATGGAAGCAAATTAAAGAAAATTTTACCTGGAATAATAATTTCCAAATAATCTGTAGAATCACCTCCTTAAATTAATGCATCTACTTCTGACTCACCCTGTAAACTATAGTATATACTTTACCTTTTGTAAGAGTTGCACAAATATCACGTATTTCGTTTCGTTGCGATTCGGAAAATAAACTTTGCTAAAAAATATAAATAATTATAAAATTGTAAATTTAATATATACATATATATTTGCATTTTATTTTGATATAAAAAAAATTAAAATTGTTTGGTTTTAAATTATTGAAAATATCTACCTCAGCCACACAAACAATTGCGTTGGAAAGGCACACAGCTGCAAATGTCACTAAAATTGTATATTTCATTTTAAAATTAATTTAGGCATGTCATTAAGCATGGGTTATTATAAATTATAACTTTTGAAAGGACATTCTAAAACTTATATAGCAAAATTTTATCTCCGAGACATTTTCTGACCTAAGGTTAATTAACCTACAGGCGATAAACATTTTTTTTAGTTATAAGTTTTAAATTTTATTTTTATTATTTTAATGTCATAACTTCTATCTAACACTATTTAAATAATAAAACAAAAACCATTTTAATTGTCACATTTTTTTAAACTATGTACTTTTAAAAAATGTTTTAATACACAGCATACACAATTTTTGGAATTTATTTTATAATTATAGGTAATCAGCATTTTTAGACGTCACGAATTTTAGGAAAAATTAAATTGTCCCGAGCGGGACAAGGTATGTTCCGATTTTATCTAACCAATTAAAAAATTATCATTGATTAAATAAATATAATAAAAATTATATTTTTTTGTATAAATTGGCTACCGTAGATATTGCAGCTAGGAATTGCAATCCAGCAGGGTTTTTAATCCAGCTGGATTATTGCTGGTTCAACATCAATCCAGCTGGTTCCAGCGCGGATCCAGCATTTATAATTATTTTAGAGTTAATTTTTAAAAAATTTGCCAGAATTCTTTATAATTCTTAGAAAACTTTTCTTATTATTTTTATTTTTATAAAAAACATAAAATATTTACCAATTTATAGAAAATAAAAAATAAATGAAATTTTAATTCGACAGCAATAAATAAATTAATTTATCAATATTGATAACTAAAATTTTTCATTTAAATTTTATTATATAAAACATTCATTTTATCAATTTTTAGGTTTTTTTTTAATTTTAATCAATTTTAAGGTTTTTGTTTATAAATTAGTTAAAAAACTGATTAGCCAGCTATAATATAGTAAATTACTAATATGTAATATACGAAGGCGTAGAAGGGCCAACAAAATTTTTACAAGTCTTAGCCGAAACTAACTTTGATTTTTGCAATTTCTATTCTATAATTGTAACTTGAACTTACAATTGCAACTTTTTATTTATTATTGGCAAATGCAGCATATGATAAAACAAGCGCCCTCAAAAAAACGTCAATACAACCATGTCTTTTCAATTTGTCGTAGGAATCGATATGCCAAAGATAATTTGGTCTCCTGCTGCTATATTGACGACGTCTTAATCTTCTTCTTCGATATTCTACGCCCTTCCGATCTACCTCAAGAAGTATTTGTTGCACTACCTTTTGATACGAAGGGGTAGAAGGGCTAACAAAAATTTTACAAGTTTTAGCCAAAATTAACTTTGATTGACTAACGAAAAGTCCATGCTGAATACACCTCAAATGCATCCACGTAATTGGGCAGAAGACAGCATAAAAGCATAAACATTATCTAAATTACTAAATTTCCTTCTTACAAGACCGAGTCTGCACAGGTGCCGTTTTAAGGTTCTTGGGCTTATAAATACGTTATGCTTGCTTTTAAGAAATGATAATATTTCTTTTTGCTAAAGCCCCATTTCGAAATATCGTTTTATTAGTGTAACAACAAAATCCATAGCTACACAGAAAAAAATCTAACATAGTACCAAGAACAGCGCTGTCATTGAATGCATTAAAATTGAAGCAATCTAAATTGTTATTTGCTCAATTAATTACTATTAAACCAAAATAGGGAAATATTTTGCCTTAATGTCAAAGAATTTATTGCGTTAAATGTATACATAGTATACATACAATAGTAACGTTATTAAATAAATCAAATTAGTATTTAATGCAATCACATTCTACCATTCTAACAAATAAATATGAATATCAATAGATTTAGAAGCGATAACTTTTGTTGTTAATTTAAAAACAGTAAACGATTAAAAACCAAGTGCTAACTACCTATTGGTATTATAGGAACTGTTATTCAGGAATACGGATTACAAGATCCCATTGGTTTAATGGGTGAGCCATTCATGCTATGCTAGCGTTTTTTCTGCAGAAAAAACGCATGTGTACCTACTAAAAACTAAATTGGTTATATAGAGAGAAGAAACAATAAACTTACCTTTAGGTTTATCCTACAATTGTAACTTGAACCTACAATTGTAAGTTTAAGTTACAATTGCAAGTTTAAGTTAAAATTTTAGGTTCAAGTTACAATTGAGAAGGTCCATTCCAAAACTCGGCTTATTCAGTTTTTAATAAAAATGAGTTAGTGGTGTCTGTACATTTAACATGTATCCCCCTATACCCTGAAGAGTTCATAATATTCCAAAACTCAACTTATTCCATTTAAAATTCATTTACAAATTGACTATCGTTCCAAAACTTGCCTTATCTATTGGTTATATCATGCAGAACTCAGCATATACGTTTATAATTTTAAATTATTTTAAATTGGAGCTATACCTTTTTAATCAAGGTACCTATATAAATGTTTTACTTATGCCTATATATTTCGTTTAAATTATTGTGTTGGCCTGATATGGGTTAGTACACTGAAAAAAATAATTTGTTTAAGCAACTAAAAAAAAGTTGCGCCAACAAATTTTATTTGTAGCTATAGCCTCAACTAAAATCTTTGTTACAACAACAAATTTTTTTTGTTGAGACATAATATGTTACAGTAACTAATATTTTTTGTTGACAAAACTATGGCGTCTTGTTTAAAGTAACTAATATTATTGGTATCTCATACAAAATAATTTGTTGGAAAAGCTATGGTAATGAGTAACTACAACATTGTTGCTTTGTTGTTATAACATTTGGTAGTTCTTTTAATCACCAAAAAATAATTTTTGTTAAAAGAACTTAAACAATATTAACCTATGCCTACACAATATTGTTAAAGCAACTCTATCAGTATGTAATACTAATTAATAAAAAGAGTTGCATTAACAATATTGTGTAGGTATAGGTTAATATTGTTTGATTTTTTTTACAAAAATTATTTTGGTACCTTTAAAAGTATTTTCTAATGAAGAAAATCCCCACTCGGTTAATATTTGGTTTACTCCTTCATCCATAACGCCCAATGCACAAAAATTAATTAACGCGAACCTGCTTCCTCTAGAATTTGCACAAAAATTTTTTAACAGTGACAAATTATTTTTTTATTATTCAATCACTATGACACCAAGACTTAACTTTAACCATGGCACCAAGTCGGTCAACTTTATAATAGTATATTAAAGTACAAGTTGCAGAAGGCCACATATTCTCGCACGAATTCGAAATTTGGCCTCGAGCGACGAAGGAGCGAGTGGACGAACGAATGAGTGCCAGAATAGCCTTCTGCAATGTGTGATTTATACTATTTTCTCGATTTTAACTTTTATTTAGGTTTTTTTAATTGTTTTGTGGTCGTTGTTGGTTAGGGGATTTTTCTCGCAAAATGGCAGTTGGCAACACAAAATGACAATATTTGTTATCCTGCACAAGTACAACCTGAACTGCACTTTTTTACATTAAACTTAAAATTTTGCATTAAAATGCATTGTTGGAGCAAACTTAATATTACAAAACAATAATAAAGGCTTCATTTTCAATAAAAGTAATGAATTTGAGGTTATTAATCAGTTTGACATTTTGGGGGTACCAATACTTAAAAACTAAATGTTACCAAAAATCGTTTAAGAATGAGCTTCATTCTTCAACGATTTTGCGTGCGAGAATATGACTTTCTTACATAAAAATCGAGAATAGTATATTAAAGTACAAGTTGCAGAAGGCCACATATTCTCGCACGAATTCGAAATTTGGCCTCGAGCGACGAAGGAGCGAGTGGACGAACGAATGAGTGCGAGAATAGCCTTCTGCAACGTGTGATTTATACTATTTTCTCGATTTTAACTTTTATTTAGGTTTTTTTAATTGTTTTGTGGTCGTTGTTAGTTGGGGGATTTTTCTCGCAAAATGTCAGTTGGCAACACAAAATGACAATATTTGTTATCCTGCACAAGTACAACCTGAACTGCACTTTTTCACATAAAACTTAAAATTTTGCATTAAAATGCATTGTTGGAGCAAACTTAATATTACAAAACAATAATAAAGGCTTCATTTTCAATAAAAGTAATGAATTTGAGGTTATTAAACAGTTTGACATTTTGGGGGTACCAATACTTAAAAACTAAATGTTACCAAAAATCGTTTAAGAATGAGCTTCATTCTTCAACGATTTTGCGTGCGAGAATATGACATTCTTACATAAAAATCGAGAAAATAAATTTCAATGTCACGTCATGCCAATTTTGGGCGAAAATTGACAACAAAAATATATTTGTTATGTTTACTTAAGGATACCTGTTAGCGGTGACGCATATTGTCAGTAGGGTAAACTAATTCTTTTCAACAAATTCATTTTTGTTGCAAATACTAATGTATTAAACACTTTACTTGGGTTAACAAATTTTTTATTAGGACCAACAAGAACAATTGCAACAAAAAATTTATTGGTTGATAAAACAGATTTGTTTTTTCAGTGTACTCACGTGTAAGATTTTTGACATTTTGCTCAAAAACAACTAATATGGATAAGCCGAGTTTTGGAATGCACCTCCTCAATTATAGAATAGAAATTGCAAAAATCAAAGTTAGTTTTGGCTAAAATTTTATTAGCCCTTTTCCGCCTTCGTATACGTATTACTATAGTAATACGTAAACCTAATAAATATTACTTTTACAGGACTGAAAAACTTTTATGAAGAAAAATATTGCCCTATTTCGTATATTTCAATTTTTAGTAAATTTATCCTCTTTTAAACCCCATAATAAATATTTTATCTACTGGACAATTAAATATATAGGTATAGAACTGATTTCCACTTTAAAAGCTTGAACAAAATTAATGGTAAGATTATAACATAATTATCTTTATTATTTTTTATAATAATTATTATTACAAGTTTTGTATTTGTTTGGTTCCTAATGTAACTGTAATGTAATGTTTATAAATAAATTCAAATTAAAATTTAGTCAAATTACTCTTAATTCTCAGAACAAATAACCCGG